CTTAATCTAGTATGATTTATATGCATATTAATTGTGCAGCAAGTATATATTTTTAACCGACTATAACTAGTTATCGTAATCATTATCATTATCGTTATCGCTTTTGTAGTAATTATTCATATATATATAAATATTTATATTGAATCTTTTGAGGGGGAGAAACCTTTGAAATACATACACATATACAATTTAGTTCTTATTAAGTAGGTAACATAAACAGTTACAAAAGTCGGCTACTCTGCTGTTATCAAAAGGACTAACATTACGTCTGTTAGGCTCGTAACATTTCTGGATTTGGGGCAATTGTACGCGGCATGATGTGGGGCCCGGAAACTGTTTGGGGTCTGCGAGTTGAATGGATGGGGAGCGCGTAATTGTAGTGGAAGACTTCCGCTTAAAATGTAGATAGTTATTAATGAAAATAGTTATTTGTTTTCGAGTTTGATTCTTGCTTCGGCTCGATTTCCATTTCAATTCAATTTGCTTATTTACGATTGAATACTTATTGTTTATTATGTATGTATGTATATATATATATATATTTGTATTTTAAACTTTTACATTCAACTATAACAGAGACACGTACGATTAGAAGTTAAAAATTTGGTTAAGCAATTTGATTTTATGCAACTAGAAATTATGCTAAATACATGAACTACTTATGCTTACGTTTACTTGTCGTATATTAACTGGCTGTTCACAATAAATCTGAAAAAATTCAACTTTTGATATACTATGCTGCATTATGAGTCTAAGATATATGTAGATTTCATTTAAACTACAATAAGCAAAAAATGTAATATATCTACTTTTGAATTACACAATAATTAGTTGCTTTTCTCATCATTTCTCTGTGTTTTTGTTAAGTTTTAATTTTATTTACTTAGTTGGTTTTACAATGAAACAATTATCATTTAAGCCTTTCAGTCATTTTGGTTGGTGCCGCTCCTTTAAACTAACTAAATTAAAGTCGAGCAATCAAGTGTATTTTGGTTTTCTTTCTTATGATTTGTTTTGTTTTGTTTGTTTGTTTGGCTTAAATGGTCTTAGCTTATGCCAATAAATTCATTAATAAATACATTTACTTTCAGCTGATTGGCTACAGACATTGGGTTTGCTTAGTCCTGAACCAAATGCCAACTGATTAAAAAATGAAATAAAAGAATGCGAAAAACAAAAACTAAACCAAAAGCTGCTGCACACAGATGATTCAATTAGCCAAACTCGATGTTTCATGAATGTGTAAATATGAATGCAATGTGTGAGTGTGAGTGCATAAATGCCTATTTATAGTTTATTTTCATGTTTATCAGTTATCGTGCTTTATTAATACTTTTTATGGACGACGTAGTGGCTGAGGTGGCCCACACTGTGAGAGGCCGTTGCCAAAATTGCATCATTCAGCTGCACTTAAATAATTAACCTTGGACAGACGCCTGCCTCGCTGGAGATTGCTGGCGAAATTCGTTTTAAAATACCAGATATACCGTAAATACGTAAACAATAAACAAAGCCAAAAATTTTGGCCTTTATGAGCGTGCAGTGGCCAAGACCGAGGGAGAGACAGAGACAGCGGCGGCGCAGTTTGGGCGAAACGAAAGTGATTTAATTCCCATATCGTTGGCAACAAAGCGCTAAGCCGCCAACTTAATTATGACTGGCAGGTATTAGCAATTGAATCACAAATAAACATGCAATTTATTTTTGTTCTGGGCCCGCAAACCAATCAATGTAATTAAATATTTGCGCAAAGCTCTCGGCCAACTAAATTTCAGTTTCAATTAAATACTTCAGTATGCGAAACGCTGATTGCCGTGTAATTTGCTAACTTAGTCGCACTCTAAATCGGTATGCAACTATTCAATATAGTGAAGCAATTAATTTTGATGGAAATTCGCAATTACCAATTACAAATTCAAATTCAAATTCAAGTTTTTTACATTTATCGCACTTAAAACATTTATTTGACATTGACAAAGCGCAAAAAATGAAGGCAAAGACAAAAACAAACAAAATTCCACAAATATTTGGCTAAATGAAATTATTCATTCGATTTGTGTTTTTGCTTAAATTTTTTATCTAACAAACAATCGAATGCTAATTAAGGCACTGAAAGCAATTGAAGTGTGCCCAGCATTTGCATAAAAAGCGCGCATAATTGAATTATATGCATTAATGCAAATGCTTTTGTAGTACTTACTATATATTTTTTGTTGTTTTCATATGTTTGCGCTGCATTTAATTTATGCTAATTGCACAATCAACCATAAATTTAATTCGAATAAGTACGCGTAATTGTGGGATAAAGTGTCAATACGCTCAGAGTTGACATTTTTGTTGAAAATTGTTAAAAACAATGCGTAAATTGAAACAGAAATAAGACAATTTCATTCAAATGAAATATCAAGAAAGGTCTATAGCAGTTGGGGCATAGTACTAAAAATAGAAGAAACAAGTTTCTAGTATTTAAAATATGTCTTTGGGAGTTGGCTTGGGATAGATTACAAAAAAATCGTAATTCTAAAAAACACAAATTAATCTATATTTAACACTATGTAGGAAATGAATTTTATAACTCGTTTTTGTTAAGGGTTTTAGTAGTAAGGGAGTAGATTTGAAGTTTCTAGCTTTTCTAACTTCGGGGATAGTCGGGTTGAGACATACAGACGTATGGATATACAGATAGACAGACAGATGACCAGGGCTAAATTGACTTAGCTTTGTGGGCTCTGTCACTCCTCCTTTTGACTGTTACGTACATTTAACAGTATTATTATAAGCTGAGTTTCCATTCTCAATGGGTACATTATGCATCCCTATATCCTCTCTGGCAGGAGGTGTAGTAAACACTATCGTAATGTCTTGGTAGGATATCTCGGCGATAGACTAAAGAAGTAAAGACTAAATATAATAAAGAGGAGTCAGCATACCCAACCTTAATAGGATGAAAATTATAACTAAATTTGATTTATATGTATATCATAATATCAAAAAGTCTATTTGCTTTTTTGAATAAATCCATTCATGTTCCTGAATAATAAAATGCTTGTAGCGCAGGTATGCAGCAGTCGGTCAAGCCCGACCAAATAGCTAACTCATTTTTCGTGTTGTTGTCGGTCGACACATAAAGCGCAAATGAATTTCGATGTCCCAGCAAAAAAACAAAGTCAGCTAAAGAAATGTGTTGCAGCCAACGTGCGGCATTCATCCTTGCTGTGTCGCACCTAAGTGCAGTTAAGTGCACTAGCTGTGTGTGTGTGTGTGTGTGTGTGTGTATGTCAGTGCCATACATTTAAATGTAACTGTGGTTGCCAGCTGCACTCCTACACCGCCTGCCTTGCCATCGATTTCAATTGTTTTCGATGCGAGCTTTTACCCATAGCCATTTGATGTTGTATTTGGGATTTGTTGCCGTTGCCGTTGTTGTTGTTGTTGTTGTCCCTTCATTTTGTTGAAATTGTCATTTAAGTGCAGTTGCTGTACACACCGTTGTTGCTGACACTCAGCACAGACTCACAATGTGTCTGTGTGTGTGTGTGTGCGTGTCATAAAAATTGCATGTTGATTGGAAAGAAAAGCCCTTGTCCTCACGCCCATACAAAAAATATAAAACAATGTTTGTTTTGTTGTTTGTTATTTGTTGTTTGCTTTTTGTTGGTTTTCGGTAACTGACAGATTTGGCTGGCGCATTATTTATGAGCATCTGAACAATTTAAAGTCGGCTGGCACTTAGCCTGCGTGCGGCCCGAAATAAATGGCCTGGCCAATAAATCTGATACATTTGCGGCGTGTGTTGAAAGCCGGGGCAACGACGAGAGCTAAAAGCAGCCATAAATTCAAGACATGGAACAAGCCGATTACATCTCCCAGAGACACGCATCTTAAATTTAGGTGCAACTAACCGCAAAGTGTCTGAAATATGAAAAACTCATGTAGCTGCTGAAATTTATGCATAGTTCTCTGCGCCTTTGCTCTCGGCCATAGAGAACATGTTTGGGGAGTATAAATGGGCCTCATGCCAAAACATTCGTTGCCTTCAGTTTTATGCTCTCTCTCTCACTCTGACTATCCGTCTGTCCGTCTGTCCGACTGTCTGTCTGTCGAAATGACGTGTCGTTTATTCCTGCGACTGGCGCATGCATTTGCTGATGCACAGCCAAAAATGTAAAAGATGAGAGAAATATCCAAAACAAAACAAAACAAAGCAAAGCAAAACCAAACAAAACAACATCGAAAATTATGGCATCTAAAGTGGTAGGGAGGCGTCTATAGCACATCTGTGCATGCCCATTAGTTGTAGCTTTTTGTGGCTATTCTTCTGCATCTCTATATCTAAAATATCTCTTACTCTGTGCCATATGAAATGACAGCGTCTGCTCGCATAGTGTTTGTGTTCTTTGAATTATTTCAACACTTAGGCGCCTTTCAGCAAAATGGGGCAAGGCAACATGAACAACAGCATCAAAGGACTGAATGGATGATCATACAAACAAACTTATAATGCCTGGGACTATAGTGTGACTTTTCATCAGTCAACGAAAAATGAAATTCCATGTGTAGAAAATATATATGTGAAATTTTACTTTTAACTGACTGATGTAGACAGTGAGCCATACGTCTGCTAACATGGCTAAAAGTTATAATATTTTTTGTTATTGCACTGTTAACCAACTATTGAAAAAGAAACACTGTGCTTAAGCAATTAATCAGTTGAAAAAAAAAGATTAATTAAATAGAAATATCCAAGCTGAATTGCTAAAAAGTGTGACACTTCTGCTTGCTCAGAGAAACATATTTTAAATGAATTTTCATGCCAGCCACAGGCTGAGGTGTAGCACGAGGCAGACACAGATTAATTTGATGCACAGCATCATCCGTCCAGGCAGTCAGATGGTCATGTATTCGGTGACATTTGCTTGACAGTCAAACTGAATGTTTTTCGTGCTGCTGTCTTCTCTACTTCACCTTCTTCTTCTTCATTTTCACGTGACCACGCTGAGTGAGTTTTCAGCCCATTTTCGCATTAAAATGCAGCCGCAGTTTGTGCTCTTGGAATGGAAAATTTGTGCAATAATATCAAGTTGAATGGCCATTGAGTGTGCATAAAAGATGTTTGCTTAGATGAAGCTTGTGTTTGCACAGCTCGAGGGCTTTTCTCGGTCGGATGACTGACTCCATGTGTGTGTGTGTGTGTGTGTGTGTGTGTGTGAGTGTGTGTGCAGCAGCTGTGGTTCAAGTTCACAGTTGAAATTGAAACTGAAAATTGTTGCAAAATTGAAATTGAGAGATTCCATCAAATTCACAGCCGTTCATTGCTTTTGACATGAGCTACAATGTTCGTTACTTTAAAGCAAGAGTTGAAACTAAATAACAGATGATTAACTAAAACGAGGCACAGAAACTTTTGAGCTGAATAGTGAACTGAATATGCTTAGAGGATGATACCCCGTACTGGTTGAGGTGGCTGAGGGGCATGCCCCCATAAACCAAGCAAAACTAACGCCTGTAATGCTGATACATGCCGTGCCCATAGCCCATGGGTGTGCTGCCCATGGCACGTTCGGTAGCCTTCTCGATGCTCGCATAAACGCACCTGTAACAGCACACGTAGGCCAAACATCACTTGAACAGGATGCGCCGGAACGCGCGTCGGAAGTCCTTGTTGAATATGGTGTAGATGGCCGGATTGAGCGCCGAGTTCATGTAGCCCAACCAGAAGGCAATCGCAAACGCCGACTCCGGTATGTTGCAGTGGTTGCTACAGGCGGGCACCAGGATGTACAGAAAGAAGAACGGCAGCCAGCAAGCGATGAAGCTGCCCATGATTAGGCCGAGTATGAGCGTGGCCCGCTTCTCCTTCTTGCGTGCGATGCGGCGCTTCTCCTTCTCCGGATCGCGGGGCTTTGGCGCTTTGGGTATGGCCGGTTCGAGTTCGGTTTTGGCGGCCAGCTCCTTCGTCTTGGCCGCCGCCGCTGCGTTGTTCTTGGCCGCCACAGTGGCCGCCTTGGCCTCGTTGCGGCGCTGCTGGTTCGCTTTGCGTCCGAAGATGGGCTGGCAAAGGCGAAACTTGAGCGGCTTAACTACCGCACAGCGGCTGACCACGCCCGAATCCGAGCTGGAAGGATCGAATTCACTCACCATGTCCGTGTCAACGCCCACTGAGAGGGCACGACAGCGTCCGGCCACGGGCGAGACGCGCAGCTCGTTGCTGCTAGCCGTACCAGCACCACCACCACCACCACCACCACTAGCACCACCGCTCGCTCCACTCGCTGCAGTCGCCCCACTGTTGCCCGCCAGCGCGTTGGCTCGAGCCACGCCCTCGCTGGCCACGCAGCCATTGTTGTTGTTCAGCACGTTGATGGAGTTCTGGCTGCCCATGGACGGCGGCACGGGCACATTGAGTCCGATGCCCCGGCCCGTGGCGATGGTGCTAACTTGCAGTGTTTCCTTCGGCGAGCAGGGCGCACTGCCTAGCGCTGTGGCTGCGCCGGAGCCACCATTGGGATTGGCATAGGCCAGCACCGTCTGGGCGGCCACGGCCTCCAGCTCGCCGGCCTCCGAGGTGGATATGTCCGAGGCCAAGTCCATGGTGACTGTCGGTATTTGCATCGGCATCGTCGCGCTGTTCGGTGGGGTCTCAATGGTGGCTATTTGTCGCTGCTGGTGCAGCTGCAGCTGCGTGGCGCCGCTGGAGGATGGCATCGGTATTGTTCCTTTCTTGTTGGCGGTGGTGAAGCTCGTTACCTACAAAGAAGATGCGAATAAAAAAAAAGAGTTGTTGTTGTTGCTGTTGTTGTTGTTGCTGCTGTTACACGACATTCCCATTTCGAAAATCCGATTTTAAAGCCCGTGTAAGGGCACGTCGCAAGCGTCAGAGCGCAATGATTACACAAACAAGCATGCGAAACACCCGATGCTGCGCACCATCGGGCCCGGGGCAATTAACAGCGGCCGAAATGCACAGGACGTGCGTGCATCAGCCTTAATCTGTGATCTGAGATGCAGCTGCTGGACACAGCTGACACATCGGCGCTTCTTTGTTTGCCCGAATCGCAGGTGGTCAGGTGTCGCTGGCCGTTGGCCGTTGGCCGTTCTCTCGGTTAATTGAAAATGCAAATTGTGAATGAATTGGCCTTAATTGTGTTTCGCCCGTACGCCTCACTCACATTTGGCTCCCGGGCCGGCGCTGTAATTTGTAATTTGGCCAGGTAACGATGGTTACGCTCGCCCAATGCTCAATGATTAGAGATTTTGGCACCCAATCAGCGTAACTTTGCTCAATGATTTTCTCTCAATATCGTTGCCATTTCGTGGAATGACGCTGCACAATGGCGCCGGCGCTGCGGCAAACTGAGCAACTGGAGGAACGTGGCCAAGTGCAACGGGGCAAAAGTGCTGAGCGATGCTGTTGCAGTCAACACGTAGAGAACAAATTGCTGTATAATTTAAGCAAAGCGCGTGAGCCACTTGCTTAACGCTTTAATGCAGCTCGCTGAGTTCGAGTGCAAAATATTGCGCATACGCCACATATGCCGGTGGAAAAATTTCGTTGCATCAGCCGCCGCGCTGCGAGCCCCGCCTTGTTCATTCAAATGGCAAAATTTGCATTTACAGTGCCCGCCGCATCGCTGCGGCTCCAGCTCAGCTTATCTGACTGAACGGACCTGCGTAACAGGCATGAATTAGCCATGGGAAACCCATTGATCGGTGCAGTGTAAAGGTTGCAGCTTAATTGCAATCCACCGAAGTACTCGCTCACGCCAGCTAGAAGCACCACCACAACCACAGCCACAACCACCTGCTTGCCACTCTCCCCTCTATTCACTCACCTGTTCGTTGTTTGTTTTGCGCGGATGTTTTTTAATGCCGCGTCTCGCTCGCGCCTTCGCGGCAAAGTAGATTCGTATGTACACAAAGACCATGATGCAGCTGGGTATGTAGAAGGAGCCCAGCGCCGAGTATAGCACATAGCCAATGTCCTCACTTAGCTGCAAATGGAGAGAAAGAGAGAGGGAGAGATAGTGAGAAATATTAGGATTGCTTTTATTTTACTCTTGCCTTCAGAAATCTCAATAAATGTAAGCTTAATAGATATGAATATAATATTTATGCTGATTATCTATGTATATATGTATGTGTATGTGTGTCTAAGAGTCCTGAAATATGTTTCAAAGCTGCAGGCAGCCACAAGCTTTGATCTTCCTCCCCTCATTGATTTCTTGTTTTCATAGTTTTAGTGTTATAGTATTCCATATTGAGCAGCACTGTAAAATATTTTATATATACACATGTACATATTTATATTTGTCCATACATACATGCAAATTGCTTGATTATATCGTTAGTCGAAGGCTTTGATGTCTGTGCACATGGAATTTACTGGAATTTACTGTCAGTTGATTGCATTTGAGGAACTCAAATTAAATGCAAAATCGACTGTCGCTCGATTGCTGGCAGTGACTGTGTGTGAGTTTTTCGTTATCCACTTAGATAGCTTTCGACTGCTTGGAGCATTCTTTGTCATTATTTACTTATTGAGCGCTTTGGACTGATTTACTCTGCCATTGCAATTGCATTCCATGGCATGGCAGCGGAAAATCCTTTGTGAGTTGTTGCCGTGAAAAACTGTTGAAAAATGCAAAGTGCACGAATTGCTGAGGAAATTTCATAACGCTAAATGAAGTAAAAATATGAAATTACGCCACATAAAAGCTTTGACAGCGCAATATCTCTGAGCCGCGCCGTAGAAAGGCCGTGGAATGGCGGAAGCTGCGATGGAAGGTCGACGGTTCCATGCCAAAATGAATGCCATATTTCAGAGTTGTTGGATGGCTGCACTGCGCTTTCTTTAAGCTGCCGGAATTAAATGGCGCCCAAGTTTCTGATCTCCGCTGCAGTTGCTGCTGTTTGCTGTGGCTGCCTGATTTGTTTGCCCCGCGAAACACCTCGCAGAATTATGCAAATTAAGTGCTCTGATGAAAAGCATGGCAAAGAGAGAAGCGCTCCAATGGCAGCTCAAGTGCCACCTCCAGCCACGCCCCGGCTTTATTCTCCGTTGTTACTGCTGCCGCCACAGTCTTGCATAATGAAAAGCCATTCGAGTTGCTGTCGCTGTTCACTTCGCCCTGATGTAAGTCTGGCATAATTTCGGCCAGCTGCTTAGACTGTACCCAGCCAACAATCTTGCAGGTGCGCCAGAATCGGTAAACAATTTATGATGGCAAGCCATATACATACATACATACATACATACTATATAGTTTATATTAAAGATGTGCCATATCAGCGCGGGCTGAACAGCGTGTAATCCGCTTAGGGGGCAGCAAAATTGAATTTGTTGTTGTTGTTGTTGCTCTAGACGAAGCCTTCGAGCTGAGCCCACGGCTCAAGCATAGCTCGGTCTTATCATAAGCCGCCGCAGCCGGCAACTGCATTGCTATATAAACTTTGCTCTGGTTTTATATTTAGTCTACGCGGCCGACGAGCGCATAAATACATTTCACTGCAACATCCTCGGAGCTGGAGCTGGCACAAGTTGCCCCAACAGCAGAAGAAGAAAGTATTAAGCGTCGAGTAAAATGCTGCCAAAATGTATATGTGCATGTGTATGTGTGCGTATGTGTGTGTATATGCATGGCAGTGCATAGTGGGCCAGTACATCGAATGGCAGGCAGTGGCAGGGGCCAACAGCCACTTAAGCGAGCTGGCTGACTGCTATTTCCAGCTTATTGCAAAGAGGCAGCAAACGTAAGGCGAAGCTGCTGCAGTTGCTCTTTTGTTGCCGTTGCTGCTGCACCGGCAACATAATAAATCGTCTCATCATTTACGGTTTACTGTTGATATATTGACGGCATTTGTCAGCACCCCCGTCTAGCTAAACAAACACACACACACACACACACACACATACACTCTTATGTCAAAGTTTAAGCTGTAGTTAAAGTTTTCTGGCTGTGCGGCACTTAAAGTATCATTTGCTCGCATAGAATAAGCCCAGTTGGCTAGCTAAGCGACACCTCGTGAATGGGCTGGCCAACTTTGGCATAGGCATAAAAGTTACGCATACGCCGCGTGCGCTCGGCTGCCTGAGCACGTAATCTCCGAGGCAGCTGGCGCAGCAGGTCTTGTTGTCTCAGCAAATTTTGGACAAATCTCTTTTGGAAGTAAATTGACAACTCGCAACTGGAAAGCTGCAACTTGTTAGTTGCAACAGGCGAACGGCGCGAAATAAATTGTCAACGGTGCGTGTTGCCAACTCCTGCAAATCGGATTTAATGTAATTGGAAAGTTTGCTCGCTGCGTTGCACGCTTTTTCGAATTTTCACATCTTTGCAGTTTCAAATTTCTTGGATTTCTATTTTCCCTTATTTTTTTTTTCTTATTTTGTTCCATTCTCCACGTTTTCTCTGCGCTGCATTTGCGCTAATTTGCAGATTCTCAAATTGCGCTCGGCGCCTTTGTTTATTTAAAAGTTCTTTTCGCTTGGCCGTAGACGGCGCGGGCAAGGCGAGAAGCAGCGCAAAGAAAAATAATTATTCTGCAATTTTTAATTAAATGGCAATGGAAAGTGCTGCCGTTATTGTTGTCTCTCGTTGTCCCGTTGCTGTTGTTGTTGCTGCTATGCAGAGCTTAAGCTGCTGGAAACAAAAACTCATTATGGGCGACCAAAATCATTAGGAAGCCCGAGCGTCGCGTCGAAGCGTCGCAAAGCTGGCAAAAGCACTGCTGACGGGCGCTGCTGCTGGGCTGAGAGGATGACGCGAATCCAGTGCAGAGTCTGCAGAGCGTATAGTGTGTTGATGGAAGCGTACAATTTATTGAAATGTAAACATGCAACAACAGCAGCACACTGAAATGACTGTAATTAAAAGATAAAAATGTTGTCCAGGCGCCAGTCAGCAGCCAACAGCACGTACCACGTGACGTATGAGCAACGCCTGGGTCGGGAGCCCGCATTTTTGAAAACCAAATCGACTGCCCGCTTAAGTGTGTGCGTGCGCATTTAAAGCTTGTCTGTGGCAAATAAGTAAAACACAAAAACTCCCTCTCTATCTATATATACATATATTTATGTACATACATAAATATGTTTGTATGTAATAAGGCAAAAATTTCGCTGTAAACACAAAAGAATTTCAATCCGAATCGTTGCTGAAAGTTTGCACAAAACAAGCGCAAAGCAACAACAGCAAGAAAAAACGTGAAAAGAATCCAAGTATGTGTGTGTGTGTGTGTTTGTGTGTCTGTCTGCAGTAAAAAGTGCGTCTTGCTCGCTCTGGCTTGGTCGAAGCAGGACCAGGGCCTGGGGCCGAGCGCTTGTCATCATCAGCATTGTCAGTTGCTTTGTTGCTGCTGTTGTTGTTGTTGTTGTTTTTGCTGTTGCAAGTTTTTTATAGCATAAGCCAAGACACGATGTTGACGTTGAACTGGCACAACTGCAGCAGCAGCAGCAGCAGCAGCATCGAAGCAGGACAGCTGGACCCACAAGGCCGGTGCTGTTGAAACAATCAATAAATCTTAAGTGCGACTTCTGAGACTACAATTTGCAGTTTGGCTGCCAAAGAAAGAAAGGCGCGCAGCTATTGCTTGCTTTTGACAATGTTGTCAGTGCTCGACTGCGACTGCCACGCCTCCAGCCGCCCGCCAGTCCACCAGTCCACCAGCAGTGTCTGTCGCTGTTGCCATTAAGTTTAGCTTCTGCCGTCTTTGCTCTACCTATTTGCATTCTCGCTCCGTGTTTGTCGTTGTTCAGTGGAGCAAGCATTTTGCTAGTTTGCGCTGCCAATTTGCCTGGCTGGCAGTTCCTTTCGCTTTTGCACTCGACTTGACTTGCACTTGCATTTAAATTGACTGCATTCTTTTGCCACCCATATATATATGTATATATACATATATATATGTATGTAATATATAAGCCAACTGACCACCCACCAGTTGGCACCGAAATTGACTTCGTTTCCGTTTGCGCTGTGCACATTCCTTTCAAAGATTGCTGCCGAAAACTTAAAGCCGAACATTAATGTTTTACGGGCCAATATAATGTCGAGTGAATGCCAAACACGCGCCTCTCTGGCCGACAATTAAACGTCGCCGAATGACAAAAATTCAACAGATGCCCAAAGATAATGAGTTTTGCGGCCATAAGCGCTCAAAAGATAAAATGCGCTAAAAAAGTGAATATCACAGAGCTAACCTGACTATGAGTTGAGCTCTATTCAAATAATAGATATGTTAATAATACTTAATTATGAAAATAAATAAATATATTAAAAACTCAGTTATTATTATAAAATGAATTTTATCACTATTAATATTATTTATTATAATTATATATTATTATAAAATATATTATATAAAATAAATTATATTAAGCATATATTTTTTCCTCTATTCAAATAATAATAATCT